ATATAGATATAGCTAGATAGATAATAAATATAGATACAGATAGATAGATAGATAGATAGATGATAGATAATACATATATAGCTAGATAGCTAGACATATAATAAAGATAGATTTAGATAGATAAATAGATGATAGATAGATAGATAGATAGATAGATAGATAGATAGATAGATAGATAGATGCAGACAGACAATCAGATAGATAGACACAGGTAGGTTAGTAGGTAGACAGAGACAGACAGAGAGCTAGAGAGAACAAGAGAGAGAGCTAGAGAGAGGGAGGAAGAGAGAGAGAGAGAGGGAGAGAGATGGATGGATGGATGACGGGACAGACACACCGACCACCCCAGGCAGATTCCCCTCTTACCTGCCCCAGGGAGCATTCGGTGGTGCCTATCAGCATGCCAGACTCACAGCCTAGGTCAGAATCACTTTCTCCATCAGCATCAAAGATCTCGAATTTCAAATTTTGCATCTCCTCGAAGAAGTAATCCAGGGCAAAGACATGGGCGAAAACGGGGTTCTGGGCGCCATGCAGGACCTCCGAGCGCCCCACCTGCGGGAGGAAAGGAGAGGTGGGTGCCAGAAAACTGGAAAGAGGGGTTCCTGCTTGGGAGAAAAGCTGGAAGATGTTTGTGGTAAAGGTGAGAGGTTTCATCGGGCTGTGCTGTTAAAGCTGAATATCACATTTACTGGTGTGTGTTTTTTTTTAAAAAATTGATGCTTATAATCTTGCAAAACAGTGTTTCTCCCAACTTTAGATACTTTAAGACCGGCGGACTACAACTCCCAGAATTCCCCAGCCAGCCTGTTTTTGGAGGAGCAGTAAATTAAAACAAAACCTATTTTCTTTAGTTGTCCATTAAACATTGGTGGGATGCAGGTAGTCCTCGACTTACGACTGAGCCCCAAATTTCTGCGGCTAAGTAAGATTTTAAGTGAGTTCTGCTCCATTTTATGACCTTTCTTTCCACGGTTGTTAAGCAAATTGCTAAAGTTGTTAAGTTGGTCACACCGTTGTTAAGTGAATCGGGCTTCTCCATTGACTTTTGCTCGTCTGCTGGTCGCAAAAGGGGATCACGCGTTCCTCGCCTGGGACGCTGCCACTGTCATAACTACGAGTCAGCATCCGAGCCTCTGAATCTTAGGCTACGTGACCTTGGGGAAGGCTGCAACGGTCGTTAAGTGTGACAAAGGGCTGTAAGTCCCTTTATTCACTGCCATCGTAACTTCAAACGGTCGCAAATTAAAAGTTGCAAGTCAAGGACTATCTTCTATGCATGAAATCCAAGAACGTGAGACTTTTTTTTTTTTGCAATTGACCAACTAGAATGTTGTCAATGCCAAGAATTTTTTTGTTTTTTAACGCCGTACCTCGTTCCACTGTCCATCGCTGAGCAGCTGGATAACCAGGCATGGATCAGGTTTAATGTTGGCTTCTCTTTCCGGCAGGCTCCAGCAGGAGACCCGAAGTTCAACACGGGATGCCCCCAAAGCCACCGGCTGGGAATCGGCCCCTTCAGACATGACGGAACCTAAAAGGAAAGAAAGTGAGAAGGAGGAAAAAATAGGAGAAAAATAGATGGTGGGATGGACAGGTGGAAGCTTTCCCCGCGGGGAGGCGGGAAACCAAAGAGAAGCGAAGAGGCCTACTGGCTGTGGGTGATGGGAAGTGTGATACTTCAGGTTTAGAAGAGGGTTAAAAAAGTGGAAAGGAAAATAGAAAAGAGGAAAAGAAAAGAGGAAAGTGGAAAAGGGGAAAGGAAAGGAAAATAGAAAAGAGGAAAGGAAAGGAAAATAGAAAAGGGGAAAGGAAAAGAAAAGAGGAAAGTGGAAAAGGGGAAAGGAAAGGAAAATAGAAAAGAGGAAAGGAAAATAGAAAAGGGGAAAGGAAAAGAAAAGAGGAAAATAGAAAAGAGGAGAAGAAAATAGAAAAGAGGAAAGGAAAGTAGAATAGAGGAAGGAAGAAAAGAAAAAGAAAGGAAAGAAAGTAGAAAGGGAAAGGAAAAGAGGAAAGAGGAAAGGAAAATAGAATAGAGGAAGGAAGAAAAGGAAAAGAAAGGAAAGGAAAATAGAAAAAAGGAGAGGAAAGGAAAGAGGAACTGGTGATTCAACCATTTGGAAGGATAAACCCAGGGTGGCATCCCACCGATGCCAACTCCAGCCAGGGGTCAGGAGGACGCGGGGGGCAGCCTCTCTCATCCAGGGACCGAGCGATGGACAGGGAAACTGGTTTCCTGGCAGGCCATGAGCTTTCTGAAACTTCTGCCCCATGCTACCTGCCTCTCACCTCCGGTAACGGTACTGGGAACATGTGGGAGGCCAGCTGGCATTTCCAAAATTGGCACCTGCACTTTATGAGCCCACAAGGTGCTGAGCCAGCTGCCTGGCTCTTGATTTATTTCACGGGGAGGGGTTGGAGGTGGGGTCGTCTGTCATGAGGGATGTGAGTCAAGTCAACCCCAGGATGTTCTTGAAGCAGCAAAAAATTAAACATTGCTTAAAGAGGCCTTTTCCAACCTGGAAAAGATTTCCAGGGACCTAAAATAATCCTTCTGAACCTGGTTAAAGGTTCTCAGGGACTTAAAATGGTCATTTGGAACCCAGTTAAGATTTCCAGGGACGTAACATGGTTAATTGAACCTGATTTAAGATTTCAAGGGACGTAACATGGTCAGTTTGAACCTGGTTAAGATTTTAAGGGATGTAACATGGTCAGTTTGAACCTGGTTAAGATTTCCAGGCATGTAACATGGTCAATCTAAACCTGGTTAAGATTTCCAGGCATGTAACATGGTCAGTTTGAACCTGGTTAAGATTTCAAGGGATGTAACATGGTCAGTTTGAACCTGGTTAAGATTTTAAGGGATGTAACGTAGTCAATCTGAACCTGGTTAAGATTTCCAGGTATGTAACATGGTCAGTTTGAACCTGGTTAAGATTTCAAGGGACGTAACATGGTTAGTTGAACCTGATTAAGATTTCAAGGGACGTAACATGGTTAGTTGAACCTGATTAAGATTTCACGGGACGTAACATGGTCAGTTTGAACCTGATTAAGATTTCAAGGGACGTAACATGGTCAGTTTGAACCTGGTTAGGGTTTTAAGGGATGTAACATGGTCAGTCTGAACCTGGTTAAGATTTCCAGGGCCATGGATGAGAAAAGAGACTCTATATAAATCCAAGGTTTCTCTTCAAGGAATGATCTATTAAGGGTTCTTCAATCAACTCAGGAACAAAATGGAGCTTCCATGTTTCATGGCAGTGTACCTTGGGATACCAGAAGGCTGGGGGTTGGTTTGGGGGGGAATGGTGAGGGGGTGGTAGAATGTAAAACAGCAAAGGAAGCATCCTAGCCTCCCTCATCTCTGATTTATGAGCCTCGTGGCCACATCGGCGCTCGAAATAGGACGCTGGAGTAAATTTACTCTGGGTCTGGTCCAGCAAGGCTCTCTCGAAGCGCCGACTCAGCGTAACTGGATGGAGATCAAATGGATTTGTAGAAGCTACAATTTTCTCTGGGAATGCCGGCAAATAAATAGCAAATCAAAGCTCAAGGTTTGGCAGCCATTTTGACTTTTTCGACCTACTCTGAAGGTGCCACTCAAGAGGAAGGAAGCCAGGGAGAGTTTGCAAACTTGTTTTTTTTTCCCCCTTAATGTTTCAAACTCAGCCTTTGCCAAAAGAAGGGGATTTTTGGGGGTGGGTGGGAAGGAGAGCACTCACAATTTGTGTGTGCGTGTGTTTGTTAGTCGGGCTGGGAGGCCAAGAGACTTTGCTGACCTGCCCAGAACTAAAAAGTAAATTCTGCAGGGGGGAATTAAGAAAGCGTAGACCTCTCTCTGCCTGGTTTTCCTTTCCGTGTCATTTCACGGAGGAGTGCCGGGTTGGCACCCTGTGTGAGCTTCTGTTCTCCAAAGGGGAAAAACACACACCCTGTTGTTCTCCGTGGTGTGTGTGATAACACACACACAGAGAACAGCTTTCAAATGTGCCACACAGGGCTGACCGAACAGAAACTAAAATCAGACCGAGGATTCAAACAGAGACTCAACAGGAAGCCTCCCTGATATTATTCTGGTCTGGGTTTGCGTGATACTGACAGAAATCCTGAGCCGGCCTCCGCCCCCCACAAATAAATACAGGTAATCCTTAACTTACGACTATAATTGAAACCAAAAATCCCGTTACTAAGTGAGACAATTGTTAAGCAAATTTTGCCGTTTCTTCTCAACGGCTGTTCAGCGAATTGCTGCTGTTGGTTCAGTTAGCAACCCCGTTGTTCATCACATCGGGTTTCCTCGTCGACTTGGCTCATCAGAAAGTCGCAAAAGGGGGAATCGCGTGACCCCTCCCCCCCCGCCGCCCGGGGACTCTGCGACCATCATAAATACCAATCGGTGGCCAAGCCGTCCAAGTTTTGATTGCGTGACCATTAATGGTCGTAAGTGTGAAAAACAGTCGTCACTCTTTTTAGCGCCGTTGTAAATTCAGGACTACCTGTGCAGAAAAGGGGCCTCTGATCTGAGTTACTAATTAGTCCTGGACTTTCAACACTTCATTTAGCGACCGTTCAAAGTCATAATGAAAGTGACTTATGACCATTTCTCACACTTACAGCCATGGTCACGTGATCAAAATTAAAATCCTTGGCAACTGAGTCACATTTATGATGGTCGCAGCTTCTCAGGGTCATGTAATCCTTTTATTGAGATCTTCTGCCCAGACAAGACCACAGGGAAGCCCGATTCACTTAACAACTGTGTTACTAACCGAACTGCAGTGATTCACTTAACAACGGCAGCCAGAAAGGCCGTAACATGAGGCAAAACTCACTTCACAAACACTTTGCTTTGCAATGTCAGTTCTGGGCTCTGTTGCAGTCGTAAATCGAGGTCCTCCTGTGCTTTCCAAGCTAATTATATAGAAGGATATTAAGATGATTAAGTTATTAATTGTCTTAATTAATGGCCAAGTATTACATACTTTATGACAGCTGTAGGCCAGCCTTAGGAAACCGGTCCAGGATGTCAAAAAAGTCAAAATGGCCGCCCTAAAATTGCACTGGAATTCTCCTTGCAATGATTGGCGTCATTGTGGCTGCAATCTGAATAATAATAATAATAATAATAATAATAATAATTATTATTATTATTATTATTATTATTATTATTATTATTATTATTATTATAATTATTATTTAACTGTATTCGATAACCCCAAAATATCCCCATTCCCCACAAACGAACGGATGGTGGTTTGTGGCAACCAGTGAATTGCAAAAAATAAAATAAATTGACTCATTTTGAAAAACCAGAAAAACTAAGCAAGGCCCAGAACGGACTGTAATTTTTGTTTCTCGAGCGTGCAAAAAGTGCATGTATTCTGTTGCTTTTCACACCCGCTCTAGATTTTCACCAACCTGAATGCCAGGAACAATGTTCTTGGGTGTCTGGGTAAGCTGGAGGGCGAAAATGCCATTTAATTTGAGGAAAGATTTTTTTTCAAGTTAAGAATCACACTTAAAAACACCTCATTTAAAAAGCATGATTTTTTTTTTAAAAAAAAGAAAACATCCATAAAGTGCAGATTAATTGGTAGTTTTCCACTGGAACTTATTCAAGTTAAAAGGCCGGCTGTGCAAGCTTTGGAGAATTACAAAATCCATCAGACGGCGGGGAGGGAAGTGGCTGATTGGAACTCTTAGGGCCAAACCCAGTTCAGGGATTCTCAACGGGAATAATATTATTAATAAAATCAAATTTATACCATGGAACCTATGGTCTTTAAAAGAAATACCCAATGGAAACTATCCCAATTTTAAAAAAATTACCGCTGCATAGAAAACATAGGTTGGAAGGTACTTTAGAGATCATCTAGACTCACCCTTTGCTTAGTGCAAAAGATCATCTAGACTCACCCTTTGCCTAGTGCAAAAGATCATCCAGACTCACCCCTAATCTATTTCAAAAGAACATCCAGACTAACCCCTTGCTGAGTGCAAAAACCCAGAGAAGGAAAAAAGCAGCCAAAAAAAACCGGAACCCAGATTAATGTGTTCAGTGCGGGAAAAACAATTGTTGTTGTCTTATGCTGGCCAAACGCGCATGATTTTAATTAATTAATTGAAAAAAATCTATTTTTCAAAAGAACAAATAAGCCGCCAGCTGAACGGCTCTCAAAAGGAGGAAAAATAGGTTCTTAGGTTTGTGAATTATCCCTGTTAGATCTTTTATTGCTGTTCGGGAACTCAACCGCAAATTCTGCGGAGCTGCGGGAGCTTGTAGTAAAATTATAGTAATTCTTGAAATAGGTTGTTTCTCCCCAGCTGCTATTTCTTTTGTTATTCATGCTTTTGTTATAGCGTTTTGCTCCTGTTTTAAAGACCAGGTAGTCCTCATTTTACGACCGCTACTGAGCTCCAAATTTCAGTTCCTAAAGTGAGAGAGTTGTTAAATGAGATTTGTCCTATTTTACCAACTCCCTAGCCATAGTCGTTAAGTGAACCACTGCTGTTATTAAGTTAGCAACAAGGCTGTTAAGTGATTCGCCGCAGTTGTTAATTGAGTCAGATTGTCGTTAAGTGAATCCGGCTTCCCCATTGACTTTGCTCATCGGAAAGTCACAAAAGGAAATCACATGTGACCGCTGGACACTGCAACCGTCACAAATACGAGTCGCCCAAATTTTGATCACGTGACCAGGGAGATGATGCAATGGTCGCAAATGTGAAAAACGGTCCTAACAAGTTGTATTTTTCAGTGCCGTTGTAACTTCAAACGGTCACTAAATGAACTGTTGTAAGTCAAGGACTATTTGTATAGTTAGACACCTCCCCCCCCCCCCTCCTGTATTGGGCATTTTGAGAAGAAAATAAATACCTAAATAAAAATAATTGTTGGCATTGTCAATATCTGGCAGCCGTTAAATACCTACTTTTCTCTGTTGTGTGGGAAAAAACCCACAACTTTCTCCCATAAATTCACCACAGCGGAGAGAGCCACAAAGCTTGTGTGCGCACACAGACCCACAAATATTATTTTAACAAAGTCTCCCTTTTTTCTTTTTCTTCTTCTTTACTTGGTCCAAGCAAATCTTTAATTGCTGTACTGTATATTAAATTAAGGGACTTGAGGACAAATTTGGAACATTGCAGGCATGTAATGAATCAACAATCAAATCTCTCAAGATCACACGGCACACAATGTGTCGGTCACATGCCGGCAAAACACAACACCCCCCCCCAGAGAGAAAGAAAGTGTGTGTGCAAAAAAGTGTAGCAAATGGTGTGCGTTGCCACTAAAAAAAACCACACCACGGGACCTCCCAAAATAACAGATTAACAGAGTTTGAAGGGACCTTGTAGGTCATCTAGCCCAACCCCCTTATTTTTTGCTTTTATAAGCAAAAAAATAAGCAAGATGTGGCCCTCGCTGCAAAAAAAAAAAACGGGTGAAAAAAAACGTGCGTGTAACACAACAGTGCGAAGGACCACAAACTGCGAGGGCGTTGTCTACAGCACAATGGCCATACCTCGAGCCATGAAGCAATGATATATCCATAAGGAGGAAGCATCTGTTTGACCGGTCCAAACCCCCACTCCTCCTGGCAGCAACTCACACAAGCATGTACAAAGTGCAATCTGAAAATTGCACACTTCCTTCTTGTGTCCTTTGCTGCAGTAAATCAGGCTATCCCCACACCAACGACATACCACGGGTGCAAAAAAATCCCATTTCCCCCCACCCCCTACACACACACCAACAAATGCATCAAATCTATAAGGAGAGAAGAATGGGACTTCCATGGGCCAAGGCAATCTATCTGATCACCAGAGCAAAGCCAAAGGAAAAAGCGGGTATTTCTTTATTCCTAGAAGGAAAAAAGGAGGGTATAAATGAAGGACGCTCCCCCCCCCCCCCAAAAAAAGAAAAATTACAAGAAAGGACCCCCCAACTCTGAAATGGGGAAACGGGAGTAGAGAGTAACAAAAGTTGTACATTCGGTGTGCAGCCCCTTAAAAAAAATCGCACAACCAAGTCCTCCCATTGCATAACACCAGTTATGCAACGATCCTTCGGTGTAACCCCCACCAGCCAAAGGAGTGAGAGTCGGTGCTTTCAGCCTCCGAGCGCCTCCTCAGATACACTGCTCCTGAATCAGGAGGCTCCATTTTGCTGGGTCCAATAAAACCTGGCTGGGTGGGGCGAAGGATTCCCCCCTCTCAAGGAAAGACAGCCGCTGGGCTGCTAGAGGTTTCTCCCACAACTCCCCCGCAAGAGGTTGCAATCCCTAGGGAGAGACAAGGCACATGGGTAAGGGAGTCCATCCCGCTCGGAGCAGGATGATGGGGGAGAGAGAGAGAGAGAGAGAGAGAGAGACCAAACCGAGGGTTACAAAAGCTTCCAAACTAGCTTCCCGGGACGGACCCTCAAAAAAAACCCCATGAAGATGCTGAAAGGACACGCCCGGGGGAAGGAAGGCAGGAATTCACAGTGCGGGCTCCGGCTGGGGAGCATGGGGCTTGTGATCCATCCCAAACGTCTGATGGAAAGGAGGTTGGGACGAGGCGCGGGACCGTGGGATGGGGATGGGAGGAAGAGGAGGAGGAGGAGGAGGAGAAGGGAGGGGGCCCATCAGAGAACACCCCTCCCAACTCGGGGACTCTAAAGCCCATCTGCCACGGTTCGGGAGGAAGGAGCCGCGCGCGCCCCTGAGTGGCAGCACTCCGCGCACCGGATCCGATGCGCGCAAGTGGCGAGCGTGGGAAAGCGGCCAAACTCTGAAAAGCGGGGGGGGCCCCCCCCCCCAGTCGGGGGTTGAGTGTCCTAAGGAGGAGGAAGACGAGGAGGAGAAGGGAGGGAGCCCCATCAGAGAAACCTCCCGAACTCGGGGACCTCGAAGCCCATCTGCCACGGCCCCGCCCCCCCCCCCGCCCGTGGATCGACCCCCACCCCCACCCCCTAAGGATGCAGCGGGCGGCCCGTGACACGCCCAGTAGGGCGCAGCGGCCCGCAAGGTGCGGCCCCGCATCGCTACTAGGTCTCACCTGGGTGGCAAGCGGAGGGTCGGGGATGATGGGCTCGGGAGACTCTGTGGGCTCGGGTCCTGCACGGCTTGGTCCTCTAGGTCCGCCGCCCGGAGGGAGACCCCCCCCAACAACCCAACTCAACTGAACCCCTCGGCCCGCGACCCCGCTGGGTAGGCAGCTCAGCCGTCCCGCGCGCCTCTCCTGCCGGTCCCACGGATGCTCTGAGCCGCGGTCGGGTCTCCTCCCCCTCCCCCGCTCGCTTACTCCCCTCTAGCCCCCGCCCCCGATCCGAGGCTCCTCCCCCTCGCCAGACTCCGCAGTGCACGGGGCGGGAGGGGAGGAGGGGGAAGGGGGAGGAGGGAGGGAGGATGTGGTGAGAGTCTCACCCACCCCCCTCTCCAAAGTCCCGGGAACCCCCAACTTCCCGCCTCCCCCAAAGGATAGGATGGAGGTTTTCTGCACGGGAGATGGCTGGGAACCGGGGTGGCGGGGACTCGTTCCCACGACCCGCCAGGAGAAGGAAGCGCGAGAATGGTTGGGACGAGACCGCTTGGCTGGGAGTCTCCAGGCGGGGTCTCCGAACCCCCAAATTCTCCCGGGGGTGTGTGAAAGTTGATTGATAGACTAACTGGGAGATTGGTTTTCTGTTTTACCCTTCAAGCTTGCTTGCTTCTTTCCTTCCTTCCTCTCCTCTGCTCTTCCTTTCCTTCTTACCTCCCTCCCTCCTTTCTTTTTCTTCTTTCTTTTCCTTCCTTCCTTCCTTCCTTCCTTCCTTCCTTCCTTCCTTCCTTCCTTCCTTTCTTTCTTTCTCTTCCTTCCTTCCTACTTCACTTACTCCCTTTCTTTCTTGTTTCACTTCCTCCGTTTCCCTTTCTTTCTTCCTTTCCTTCTTTTTTCCTTCCTTCCTCCCTACCTCACTTATTCCCCTTCCTTCCTCTCCTCTTCCTTTCCTTCCTACCTCACTTCCTCCTGCCTCCCCTTTCTTTCTTCCTTTCTTTCCTCCCATCCGTCTGTCTTTCTTTTTTCTTTCTTTCTTGACCTTCTTCCTCCCTCCCTCCCTCCCTCTTCTGTTCCTTTATTTCCTTCTTTCCTCCCTCTCTCCTTCCTTCCCTTCTTCCTTCCTCTTCTGTTTCTTTCTTTCCTTCCTTCCTTCCTTCCTTCCTTCCTTCCTTCCTTCCATCCTTCCTTCCTTCCTTCCTTCCTCCCTCTGTTCCTCTTCTCAATGCCCCACTTTTCCCAGAAGGGAAGCTAAAGTGCAGCCTCTGTCTTGGCGTTCAGACTGAAGCCAGCATTGGATTCACACTACAGTATAAAATACCGAAAAGCCTTAAAGTGCTTTCCAGTCCAGGGCCCCACAGCCTGCAGGACCTCCAAGCCTGGGCCCAGCCAAAAAAAAGTTTTCAAGAAGAGCTTTTAAACTCATATTTGACTTGTAAAAAAAAATCACAAGTACTGAACTCCTAGTTTTGGGCTTTTGGATTTTACAATGTTTAACAACCACTACAACTTTAAGACCCTGCGGACTTAATTCTGGGAGTTGAAGCCTGCAGGTTTAAAGTTACTTGAGATGGAAAAAAAAAAACCTACATGGAGATAATTTGAATGTGTTTGGCCGCGCTGTGATTGTGCTTAAAGCAAGCCAGGGCCCATATGTTAATTTAGGGACTGGTTTTCTTAATTCAGATTATCTAAAGTTATTTATTTTGTCAATTAAGTTCATCTCAATGGGTTGCAGCTTCAGAGCAGGGCAAATTTGGTAAATCCCTGGCGAATCCTTGCAAACTTAGAATTCACGTGTTTTCCCCCTGCACCGTCTGAGAAAGCAATTTAATGTCGGTGCAAGATTGCAATGTAGGCTACTGACCTCCCTCCGACTGGCATCCTTCTTCGTTTCAGACTCCGGAGTGTAGGATGGAGTGTGGACTAAACAAGCACCTGGGATCTGGAATAATGAGCTTTGGAAATTCGACAAGGAAAGACCGGTCAAGTTGCTAGATCTCAGGATGTCAGAGAAAATCAAAAGCTGCCCGGATGGGGGTTTTTTCCCTCCACGCCCAAGTGATGCTGAACTTCTAAGATTGCAAGTGGATTTCCTAAGCTTGAGACAGTCCTTTTAAAAAACTTATCTAACAGATTTGGGTCCGTGGTGGTTTCCTTGCAGATATTTCACAACCATACTAGGTAACATCATCAGTACTCCTCCTCCTCCTCCTCCTCCTCCTCCTCCTCCTCCTCCTCCTCCTCCTCCTCTCCAAAAGTCTCCCACCCTTCTGGCACTGATAATGTTTCCTAGTTCGGTCATGAAACGTCTGCCAAGAAACCACCAAGTTCAGAAACTACCAAGGACCCCACAGTCCTTCTCCCCATTTTTCCTCCCTGCCGCCTCCTCCTCCTCCTCCTTCTCCTCCTCCTCCTCCTCCTCCTTCCCTTTCTCCTCTCCCTCTCCACGATCTCCCCTTCTATCACTGATGATGTTCCCTAGTCCGGTCATGAAATGTTTGCAAGGAAACCACCCAGCTCAGAGAGCACCAAGGATCCCACAGTCCTCCTTCTCTTCCTTCACTTCTTCCTCCTCCTTCTTTTCCTCCTCGCCCTCTCCACAACCCTCCCTTCTATCACTGATGATGTTCCCTAGTTGGGTCAGGAAACGTCTGCAATCAAACCACTAAGCTCAGAGTGCACCAAGGACCCCACGGTTTTAACCTTGAGATACAAAACATTCTCTTTTATGAGTTTGGTCCTTTACACAACTCCTGTGCTTTCCCCAAAATAAGACCCAAGCGGAAAATAAGCACTAGCGTGCTTTTTCAGGATGCTCATAATATAAGCCCTACCCCTTACAAAATAAGATCCAGCTAAGATCGTCAGCCACGTGTTTTGCGCTGTATTTCCTTCCCACCTGTCTTATTTTCCGGGAAACACGATAAGCAGGATTGGTAAATTTGCACAGAGGAATTGCAACATTTCAGAGATTCTAGCCGTTTTGGGGCTCAATTTTTTTAATGCTTCCCCTGGGACCAGCCAGATATTTTAATATTCCACCCTATTTTGCGGGTCAGCCCAGCTCTATTAATCTCCCATAATCCCATCCCTTAATCTCCCTTAGCCGTGAGCATCACTTTTGCATCCTTCTAAATCCCCAGAGCCAAGATCCATGGATCCCACAAAATTAGGGACCGAATTCTTGTGGGAATTTTCCGCTGGAAAAAAAGGCACGCACAGCATGGGAGAAACGCTGGAAGCTGCTGGGTATTTCTATTCTGGTAGAAGCCGCATTCACTCATTCGTCACACACTGCGAATTCTGGGAATTGTGTTCCTAATTTACTGGGGGATCCTGGGACTTACGACCACAATGGAGCCCCAAATTGATGTTGCTAAGCGGGACAATTGTTAACTGAGTTTTGCCCCGTTTTACAATCTTTCTTGCCATAGATGTTAAGCAAATCCCTGCAATAGTTCACTGAGTAACACAATTGTTGAATGAATCTGCTTTCCCCCGTGGACTTTGCTTGTCAAAAGGTCACAAAAGGGGATCACATGATCCCTGGGATACTCTGACGGTCATAAACAGGAGCCAGTTGCCATGCCTCTGAATTTGGGTCACGTGGCCAAGGGGGATCCTGCAACCGTCATACATGTGAAAAATGGCCATAAGCCATTCTTTTCAGTGCCATTGTAGCTTTGAGCAGTCACTAAATGAACTGCTGTAAGTTGAGGATTTCCTGTATTTCGAGTCTATTGAGGATCATAGGAATTGTATTCTTTATCAGGGATCCTAGAAATCATATTCCTAGCCTACTGAAGGATCTGGGAATCGTGTTCCTAACCCACTGAGGGGTCTGAGAATCGTGTTCCTAACCCACTGAGGGATCTGGGAATCGTGTTCCTAACCCACTGAGGGGTCTGGGAATCGTGTTCCTAACCCACTGAGGGGTCTGGGAATTGTGTTCCTAACCCACTGAGGGATTGGGGAATCGTACCCCTAACCCACTCAGGGATCTGGGAATCCTATCCCTAACCCACTGAGGGGTCTGGGAATCCTACCTATAACCCACTGAGGGATCTGGGAATCATGTTCCTAACCCACTGAGGGGTCTGGGAATCCTACCTATAACCCACTGAGGGATCTGGGAATCATGTTCCTAACCCACTGAGGGATCTGGGAATCGTACCCCTAACCCACTGAGGGGGTCTGGGAATTGTGTTCCTAAACCACTGAGGGATCTGGAAATCGTGTTCCTAACCCACTGAGAGGTCTGGGAATCGTGTTCCTAACCCACTGAGGGATCTGGGAATCATACCCCTAACCCACTCAGCGGGTCTGGGAATCCTATCCCTAACCTGTAGAGCTGTAATTGCAGGAATGTTCCTATCTCGGATGGCAAACCTCAGATAAAGAATGTTTCCAAGCAAATACAACTCAGGTAGACAAAGTCACTAATCTAAAGGAGGATTAGAGAAATGAAGTAAACATATGTTAGACTTTAACTAGAGATAATTAATTGTATTTAGCACAGATTACTGTGCTAAACAGTAACGAAAGTTAAGCAGTAACCAAAGTTAACCAATGATGGAGGATTACTAAAAATGTGTATAAATGCAAGACTAGACTCCAATAAAGTTCATCATGATTCATTTGATCATGATCAAACACCTCAACTGCCTCGTCATTACAACAAGTGGCGCCTGAACAGGGACCCATTTACTTCATCCGGCAAGGATTTGGTGCACCTTCAACCCTTTGTGGTTTCTTCAACCTTTTGGTTTCTGTAAGTATGGGGTCTTCACTTTCTGAGGAACAAAGGAAGCATGTAGATGAATTAGGCTATTTGTTGAAGAAGAAGAATACCGAGGTACTACAGTGAAATCTCTTAAGGCTGGTCCAGGAGATTGCAGCTCAGTGCCTATGGTACCCAGAAAAGGGGTCTTTAAAATTAACTGATTGGGAACGTATTGGGAAAACATTGCTTACTAAACCTCAAGCAAAAATAGAATTTTTGCATGTGTGGCATTTATGTAGGCATGCAATTGA